GAATTCAAGATACTAAAGAGTTGAATAGAAGATTTCAAAAGGCAGCACGGGATGACAAAGCAAAATATTACAATGAAATGTGCAGGGAGTTGGTAATCTTTAATTATTCACAATGCCCAGTGAGTAATTAGTCTAGTACTTAGCACAGTGTCTAAGTCATTGTTGTTACTCCATCCATGTTCTTTAAAAAGTTGTTAATTTATGAATAATAACCTGACAAGACTAGTCTGTGAAAGTTATTTAATCTGTAGATTTGCCTTTGGTGACTCATTCCTCATCTCAACATTGGAAAATTACCCAGTACTTTCTGCTTCATAAAATTGGGTCATTAGAGGGGACAATTTAACAATTCCATTTAAAGCATAGAATGTTTTGATCTTATAATGTAATATTTGGGGTGAAGGAGAAAAAATACAGTCAGTAGAAACTTTTCCCAGAGAGGTAATGTAATAGAAACGAATGAGAATAATGTATTGGAATAATAAAAAAGATTATTATTACTTGGGAATTTAAAATAGTCTAACGGAAACTATTTTAGACATTAAGAATTCTAAGGGGGAAAGTAATTAAATATTAATCAATTAATGAGTGGAGATCCAAGTTCTGTATAAACTTTCATTAAAGTCTAAAAAAATTAATCATTTAGTTACAAAGATATTCAAATTGCAACTTTTTGCTGTTTGTCTTTCAAAACAGATTTTGTGCCTTTTACCTCGGCCATCCTTTTAAAAAACATTTTAAATCATGGGAGATGAAGGTAAAATAACTGAATGTGAAGATTCAGAGCCATCCACAGGTGTGCATCACACAGCCTCTTCTGATGAAGAAACACAGGTAAATTCTTTTGGATATAGAACATTTCTGCCATTCTTTTAAGAAAGAGAATTTTGGGTCTATTACTGATTTGGGTTCCCCAAACTCGTACACCCCAGGTCAGGTATGACTGACTAGGTTCCAAACTAAAGCTATTAGCAATGTGTGTTTCGATGAGGCAGAAACAGTGAGGAACCTGTGAAAATCTTTGGTTCCCAGCCTAAACCATGGGGTGGTTTTGATGTCTTCTTTTTCTCTTCTATTGCTTAAATCCAAGTAGAGGAATGAATATGAATTTTGTAGCTTTTTAAAAACCATAGTAGTTACCTTTTCCCCCCCCCAGAAAAACTCTGGAATATTTATTATCTGCTGTCCTGTCTCATATATTAAATATGCTGTCTTTTGAACTCAGCATAATAAAACTTGATGATTGAAAGCATTTATAATAGCACAAAGTGTATCTCAGTGTTAAATAATAACATAATTCTTGTTCCAACTCTCAGCTAATTAGCTAGGAATAAAGCTGTATGTACATCTTCCATAAAGTGTTAGCCTTGATTCTAGTAATGAAATCTGACTTGTGATATGATCACTCAAAACCTACAAAATGTGCATTAAGATACACTTATAAGAATATTTATTACTCCTTTAGACACAGGAGGAGAAAGTTATGAACTTCAGGAGTATAGATGGAAATGAACCCACAGAAGGAAGTAATCTACTGAATAGCCAGGAGAAAAAGCTACAAGAAACACCAATTGATTCAAATAATTTGCAGAGACTGAGACAGATATTTGCTTGCCCTCCACATGGATTACTGGATAAAGTAATCACAAATGGTATGTGAACAAAAATTAATGAAGAAAAGCATAAAATGTGAAGTTGTTATACCTTGAGATCTCAAACTAAAAGTCATTTACTTCTCTCACATGAAACGTTTTAGGTGAAAAAAGTCACAGTGCTAGATGGCTCTGCTCCACGTGTTCATTCAGGCAGGAACCCACACTAACAAGGCTCCTCCTTCTTCAATATATTTCCAGATCTCTGATCCTAACCATTCCAACCACCAGAGTAGTGGGAAAGCACAGAAATCAAGGGGGTTTTATGTTCAAAAAATATTTCAAAGGATTATTTTAGAATTCCAATGAGAAAAATGCTTATGAAATCCTTTATAAACAGACAGGCTCTACATAAGTGTTAATTACTATGATGTAATGCAATTAATTAAAGAGCTCTGGTGGCTTGGAGGTAAGAAGTTGCTCTGCAAACCAGAAGGTGCACAGTTCGAATCCACAAGCTGCTCTCGAGAGGAAGATGGGCAATCTTTTCCTGTGGGATTTATATCTGCAAACTTACTGAAGGGTCAACTATAAGTCAGTTCAGATTGGACAGCACATAACAACAATGCAATTAATATTTCAGAAAACATACCTTAATTTACACTTACCTGTGAATCCAGCCATTTTATAAGTAAGGGTCTTGGTTTGCATTTCAGCTCAATTTAATAAAGCTGCCATTACTTAAAAAATGCTTTGGTATTTTCCTTTGGAAATTACTCCCAGCACTATTTTAAACATTATTATGGTTATGTTTGGTCTTTGAAAGCATCAGAAAGTTATTTTGATATCAATTTAATGAATAAAATGAATGTTTGGATTTCAGTAGTACCATTTTTTTTTGTTCGTAAAATAACTGTATGTCTGTAATGTGTCTTAAGAGATTATAGTATAGTATAGTATAGTATAGTATAGTATAGTATAGTATAGTAAAGAAGAAAGGTTTTGAAAGATAATTTCAAAATTATTTTTAAAAGCTGCAGTGTCATTCAAATAAATATGTGATCTTCCAAAATTAGTATGTTGAAAATGTATATTTGACATAGAAGTTATGACTACTCAAAAATCAGATTCATTGTTTATAATGTTTTATGTATTACTTTTGTATTTATACCATTTTTGTCTGCAACTATGTGAACATCAAGCATGATAACACTATTTTAGGTTTCAGATATGTCTTCAGTTAAATTAGGTAAGGTTCTAAACTAGCATGGGAGAGGGGGAAATATCAAATATATTTAGAACACAGAGAAAATCAAGTTCTAAAATTTACACTAGCTAATAATGCAACAGATTATTTAATGTCTTCTCTATGATATTTTTTTTTGCATTCCAGTTATGTCACATTTAGTTAAAACTGTTAAAGTAAAATTTGAGGTAAGAATTGGCAAAGGAAAAGATGAATGTATTATATGATTTGAAGACTCATATTTTTATAAAAATTCTGTGATTACTGTCCATACTCTACTTGAGAAATGAAGCTAGATGTATATAAAGAATTCATTTATTTTCCTGGACTTCTGTTCCTCAAGTTTGCAATCTTCTGGTCCTAGAATTTTCCATGTGCCCATTCAGTTTGCATTAATTACACATCAGAGGGAAGAATTTAAGATACTAAAGAGTTGAATAGAAGATTTCAAAAGGCAGCACAAGACGACAAAGAAAAATATTACAGTGAAATGTGCAAGGAGTTGGAGTCAGAAAATCAAAAGGGACGAACTCGCTCAGCATATCTTAAGCTCAAGGAACTGAAGAACAAATTCAAACCTCGAGGATGCTTTAGGGAGAATGTTAAATGATCCAGGAAGTATTAAAAGAAGATGGAAAGAATATACTGAGCACTGTATCAGAAAGAATTGTCAGACATAGAAGAATTTCATGAAACAACATATGAGCAAGAGCCTATGGTGATGAAAGAAGTTCAGGCTGCTTTGAAGGAAATGGCAAAAAATAAGGCCCCAGGAATAGATGGTATACCAATTGACATATTTCAGCTAACAGATGTTACCCTGGACGTGCTCACCAAGTTGTGCCAAGAAATCTGGAGAACAACCACTTGGCCAACTGACTGGAAGAGATCTATATTTGTTCCCATCCCAAAGAAAGGTGACCCAACAGAGTGTGGAAACTATAGAACAATATCATTGATTTCACATGCAAACAAGATTCTACTGAAGTTTATCCAATAACTACTGGAACAGCACATCAGCAGAGAACTGCCGGAAGTCCAGGCTGGATTTAGAAGGGGTCATGGTACTAGGGATATTGTAGCTGATGTTAGATGGATCTTTGCTGACAGCCGAAAATAGCAGAGGAATGTCTATCTGTGTTTCATTGATTATGCAAAGGCATTTGACTGTGTGGATCATAACAAACTGTGGCTGACTCTGAGAAGAATGAGCATCCCAGAACACTTGATCGTTCTAATCCAAAACCTATACTTGGACCAGGAGGCAGTCATCAGAACAGAGCAAGGGAACACTGACTGCATGGTTCAAAATTGGTAAGGGTGTACGCCAGGGATGCATCCTATCTCCATACCTTTTCAACCTGTATGCAGAACAGATTATCCGGGACTGGGCTCCATGAGGAGAAATGTGGAGTCATGATTGGTGGAAGATCTATCAACAATCTGCGTTATGCAGATGACACAACCCTGCTTGCTGAAACTGAAGAGGACCTGAAGCACTTGCTGCAGAGGGTCAAGAACTGCAGCCTCCAATATGGATTGAGGCTCAGTGTCAAGAAGACAAAGATTCTCACCACTGGGCCAATTGGCAGCATCAGGATGGATAGTGAAGAGATTGAGATTGTTCACAGCTTCAGTTTGCTTGGCTCCACAGTCAACACTCTCGGCACCAGCAGTCAGGAAATTAGAAGACGTATTGCCATGGGAAAGTCTGCTGTTAGGGACCTCTCCAAAGTACTGAAAAGTAATGGCTTATCTTTGAAGACTAAGGTATGCCTGATACAGGCCAGGGTCTTTGCTATCACTTGTTATGCATCAGAGAGTTGGACAGTGACTAAGGAGGACAGAAGGAGAATTGATGCCTTTGAGCTGTGGTGCTGCACAAGAGTACTGAGGGTACCATGGACTGCTAGGAAAACAAACAGATTCATCCTGGAAAGGGCCAAACCGGGCTGCTCCTTGGAGGCAAGGATTTCAAGGCTCCGTCTGACATACTTTGGACATGTTGCAAGGAGTGACAGACAGGTCCTTGGAGAGGGACATCGTGCTTGTTAGGGTGGACGGACAGCGCAGAAGGGGAAGGCCCCCTATGAGGTGGATTGATTCAGTGATTGGGGTAATCAGGATGGGTGTGTCAGAGACGGTATAATTGGCACAGGACAGAGCAGAGTTTAGGGCTGTTGTACATAGGGTCGCTATAAATCACAAGCGACTCGATGGCACATAACAACATAACAGCAAAAATAAGTATTGCATCTGAAAATACTATTTAACAAAAGTATAAATGAGAAGTAAACTGCTATTTCAGGGACCTTTATAAAGATGCATGTTCGATGTGTTTAGACTTACCCAGTGCTTCACAATATATAAAGAATGCTACATGACAACCTTTCATTAATCCTACACATGTATGTAAATATATAACTAATATATGTGACTTATGGAAAATTCGTTTACAAGTTAAAGTAGAGGAATACTCCTTTTAGCTGCTGGGAACTTGGCTATGATTTCTTTTCTCTTCTACTATCTATTTTTTTTTTAAGTCTTGAATTTAAAAAAAATTATTTTAAATTGGTTTGCATACAAAATTTGTATGCATTGTATTTCACACTTTCCTTCATTCATCTTGTGGTTCATACAATCATTCCCATACATTGTATTTTATAAAATGAATCTCCATTGAATTATACCCATCATTACGCCATCTTTTCAGGTCCCCACTGGATCCTTGCCATTTCCTTTACCTCCACCCTCCACCTATCAAATTGTATGACCCTGTGATTTTCCCACTGCCCAGTCTAAATCTTGAAATTTGAAATTTTTTTATTAGAAATATTTTCATGTTATTTCCTGATAACAGAATAATACTCAATTATTTTATATTTAATATTATTGTATATTGTAATTGTTGCCTAAGCACAGGCAAGGAAGACACTGCAAGAGTTCGATTGACAGTCACTGGGGTAATGAGGGTAGGTGAGACTAACTTGGGATAAGACAGGGTTCAGAGCTATGGCACATAAGGTCACTATGAGTCTCACGCAACTCCATGCCACCTAACAACCGCCACCAATTTATTTTTAATATTACTAAAATTTATGACAATTAACTTATAAACATATATAAATCTTAGAGTTAATGAATTAACATTACTGTTTGATTGACGAGCACAGACCTAGACACTGGAAGGAAAAGGACAAAAAATACTGAAGCCAATTCGTGTATTTATAGACTTTATAGTTTAATTACTTATTGCTATTGAGTTAATTCCAACTCATAGCCAGCACATTAGCAACTATCTACCAGTTTACCAAGTCTGTAAATCTTTTTGGTAAGAAACTGCACATCTTTCTCTCATGGAGCAGTTGGAGGATTCATATCCTTGACTCTTCTGTTACTACCTCAGCACTTAACCAATCACACTATCAGAACTCCTTGTAATCAGATTCACTCAAGAGATTGCCTGTCTTTCTCCTTAGAGCCTCTAGTCAATTTGAACCACTGTGGGAGGGGGTCCACTTTTGAGTTAGCAGCAGCCCAACTTCGAATGGATTATGCCACCAGTCTTCCATCCAGTGAAATTAGAAGGTCAAATATATACTTGAGTAACAGGCAATATCATTGTTCTTCTAAGGCTTGAAAGCAAACTTCTAAATACATATGATATAGTCAGGCTCATATCATGAGACTTTAAAGTATTGTTTCTTGAAAGAAACAAGGTCCATTTTTCTAAATTTTAGTAATTCCTTTTGTTGTAGATGTGTTCACTATTTTATTATTTACTACTAAATATTTACCTAAGGAAGAAGTTTTTAAATTATGTCTGAGGCTGCTCATAACAGCTGACTGGTAGATATTCCTTTTCCTGGTTGTGTTGTGTTTTTTTGTGGTTTTTTTTTTCAGTGACCATGGTTGTTCTTGTTTGGGCTGTGGTTTGGTCAGTTACTGGCAGTGAATGTCTCCCTGGAGGAAACCTATTTGGAATTATAATCCTGTTCTATTGTGCCGTCACTGGAGGTAAACTGATGGGGCTCATTAAGTTGCCTACATTACCTCCACTGCCTCCTCTGCTTGGTAAGTGCTTCCTCTTCTCCAGAGTAAATCATCTTTTTAAAACAGTAGTTGGAAAGATGTTGGATGAATCAAAGTGTACTTTGTGTGCTGGATCCAATTTGTACCAATTTACGAAAGCCAAACCAATAGATAATTAGACACAGTGTCTGAGAAACTGAGGGCATTTGGTAAGTGTGGTATAAATGAATGGAAGAAGAGTCCAGTTGGCTTTTCAGGGCTCCAATGTCTGATCTACCATAATTTGCCAAAGCCTTTGCTTGGAGATTAGACCCAATAAAGTTATATTATCTGATTTGAAGATGATACTTCAGGTAACCTGACATAGTGTATAATTCCAAGCGCTATATGCTGTTAATATACAAAGGAATGGCTGAATAGGACACTCTTTTTTTAATTATTATTAAATTTTATTAGTTTTAGTGAACATTTACAGAGATTTTGGGTTTTTATTCATTCATTGTTGCACTGTTTTCTCTACCCTCCTCCCCAGTTCGTTCTTCTTCCCCCCCCCATGTCTGTTTTAATTGTCCAATTGGCACAGTGCTTGTCAAAGCCAGTTTTGATTAATCTCCTTTGTCAGTGTGTCCTTTGCCATTCCCTATCTCTCCTCCCTGAGAGGGACTTCACCCTGATTCATAAGGAAAAGGGGATGGCGTATTCTCTTGGCTACTTCCTGCTGGAAAGGGACGCTGTGGGTTTCAGGGTGAAGATCTTCTCTCACTACTCTAAAGGGCCCCTCTGGCAGTAGGAAACACATAGACTATTATGAAGATTGATTTTGGAATTTAGATTCACTGTTATCAGTTGTGCTTAGCTGTACATGTTCATATCCTTGAAGATGTATCATGGAAGTGTTGCAGCCTAGAAGATACAAATTTAACTAACAAGTTAAAAGTACATGAGTCAAAAATTAAAAAGCAATAATATTCCGAGTAGAGGTTCTAATAGTGGCATGAATCAAGTTACAGGGGGAAGGTGGTTCTTACAATAAAAGGCCTATAGACTAGCACTTTGTCTATTATAGTGTAGAGGTTAGGAACCACAATATGTAGAGGCTCAGCTATGTCATTTATGGTTCTTAAGTCCTGGAGGAAATTCCATCTACCACTGGGTTGTTTTACAACTCGGAAGTTCGAATGCAAGGTAGAGGTAAAGTAAGGAACTGCTTATGAGGTTTTCCGTCCATTCCAACAACTAAGAAATAGTGAGAAGAGTTGGGATCTCAGAAGACTTTTAGGACCAATTAGTAGGCTCTGTGTCCAGGAGAAAATGAATATACTTACCAGTAATGTTAATGTTCACCCACAGCTCTTCTGGGAGGGTCTAAATCGTTGAAGCGTGAATTGGACACTCTTAATAAGAAAATTTTCTACTTATAATTTGATCAAGTCTCTTTCCAAATGTTACATCTGATTTCTTACTTTTTGAGTTCAGGTATTTGGGGAATATTAACTAACCTGATCTAGTGGTTTTCTTTAAATTTGTATATAAAAATCTTCCTATTCTTTCTTTAACTTCTTGTTGTTTGTTTTTTTTTTATTAAGAGCTTAAGTTTCTTTAATCCAAGAAAATGGCTTTTAAGATGATATAGTCTTCTCTTTCACATCAACTATACCAAGAAATATTTTCTGTATTTAGAAACTAGCTGAGGAGTTGTTTGCTTTCTCCACTCAAGGCATGCTGCTTGCTGGGTTTCTCATCAGAAATATCCCAGTCATCAGTGATAATGTGCAGATCAAGCACAAGTGGTCTTCCTCTTTGAGAAGCATAGCCCTGTCTGTTATATTGGTTCGTGCTGGCCTTGGACTGGATTCAAAGGTATGAAGCTTGAGTTTCTAATTACAGAGAAAGAATTTTTATTCTATAGTACTGTAGATATTTAGAATTACTGAACTTTATGAAATCGATATGGACACTTTGTGTACCAATCTCAAAAATAGAATAGGATTTGTTTTATATAGAATTACTAGGCAGGTGCAGTCCACATAGGAGATTGCAGGACTGTTTTCTATCTGAACAAGTGGTTTCCAGGATGTTTTATTTAGAATTCTGAGCATAAAAAAACCAGTACCAAATTAACCACAGAAAAGGTGGGTGCCAAATAATGTCCCAAAGTTTCCTTCTATTAATCCAATCCATCATTCCCAACATTAACTGTTCCTCCTGACTCACAAAACCTCCCATCAGTGGTTTTATTTTATTTTTTTTCTTCACAATTTGCTGAAGGGTCCTCAACAGGCTCACACAGCTATTGACAATATCAGGGAGTGTTCAGGCAGTTGACTAACGTCAAAAATCTATCCCAAGCAAGTGGAGAGGAAGAACAGCCCCCAGAGCCTTGAACGTAATCTTTTATAAAAGCATAGAGGCATAGACCAGGCCTTCAGGAAAACTGAAGCTAGTGAATTGGGCCATGTGTTTAGCAAGTCTTTAATCAAAGCAATAATTTTCTTCCATCCCCCAGGTATCATATATTGCTTCAAATTAACCACCTGAGTGGGTTCAAGCAATTCTAATAGGTCCCGTTTAGGACATGAAATCAACACTGGCCTCAGGGCAGATTCACAAGCCTTCAGTTTTAAAATATCTGTTAGAGTATTCCCCAATTAGACACAATATCCATATTTTTATCAACTAGCTGAACTTGAGTAGAGTGGAGTCTCAGGACTTAACAGAAAGGTGTCATTGTTGTGTACTGTGTTGGAACCGAAACATAACTGACCCTCCAGTGAGTTTTCAGAGACAGTTAATCACATAGGAGGAGTCTTCGAACTACGTGCCTCCAGGATTACAGAGCAGCTTCTTGACATCAGCCCGCCAGCGCTCGAAAGCCATTTAGAAAAGTAAACCCTTGACACTACACAGGGACTGGTTGTTTTGGTAAAGGAGAGGGTCAGCAAAAAAGAGAAAGGCCCCAAATGAGATAGACTAACACAGTGGCTCTAGTAATGGGCTCAGACACAACATCAGTTGTGAGGATGATGCAAGATCAGGTAGTGTTTTCTTACACATATAGTCACTGTGAGTTGGAGCTGACTCTATGGCACCTAAAAACATTGTGAAGGTAGAAAACTTAAGTTTATTTGCAAGACCTCGGAAAATATCCCTACATGTTCTTTGAGAAAGGTGAAGTGTGATCAGCATTAAGAATAAGGATTCTCCTTTTTTCTGACAGAAGTACAGGCTATAGTTATAAATTATGATCAGTGAGGGGGGGAAACCATCTTATTTTGGTGTGGGAAGACCGCAAAACATGCTTAGATCTAACCATCCTGGTTCAAGAAACTTCACTGTGTTATAATAAGATGCTCATGGTTTGGCTTTGTTTTCCATGTATGTTTTTGAACACAGGGATCAATGTTCTTGGAGGATGCCATGAACCAAAAGATCCTTTATTTCCTGGCCTCGTTCTGGGTCCATAGATTATAATTCGTCTAGCACCAAGAGTGTCAAGTCAGCTCATATGGGAATTATGAGCACAGACCCTGCAGCCAGCCAGCCTGAGTTCAAAAACTGCCTCAGCCCTTCATCAATTTCATGATTTGATGATGAGACTAATAGTCCATCTGTCTTGTAGAGGTTGCAAGAATGGGCTAAAACACAGCAAAGACTGTGAGGATGGTGCAGAATATGGCAGGGTTTCCTTCTGCTTACGAATATGAGTCATTATGAGTCAGAGCCAACTTGAGGGCAAAGACAAGAAGCTGCTCCTAGTGTGGCTAGGAGATCTAAATAAAACTAAACTGCTAACTGAAAGCTTTATGACCACCCATCCATGGTCTGAAAGCTGAAGAAAATGTTTCATTTAAGACCTTAACATCCCTCAAGCTCAGCTGCTTGGCATGTCTCTAGAGAATTATTTTCATATGTCTGTTTTTATCTTTCAGGCCCTGAAGAAGCTAAAGGGTGTTTGCGTGAGATTGTCCATGGGCCCTTGTCTCATGGAGGCCTGCACATCTGCTCTTCTTGCCCACTTCCTAATGGGCTTACCATGGCAATGGGGATTTATACTAGGGTAATAATGTCTCTTTGTGTATATGAATATAGGCACAAACTTTAAATCTTTCTGTGATTCTATACAAGAGAATGTGTAATTATGTTTACTTAAGAATCTTGAAAATGACAACCTAGAAATTGCAGCATAATCTAATCTGACTAAATGTTAAAATGTAGTATGTATTTCTAGACACTGGATTTGAACTGCCAGAGAGGTGCTAACTTTTAAGTTAGCAACTCAACTCCCAATGGACTATGCCACCAGTTCTCTTGTTTATCAGAAAATAAGACATAGAAATGCCAGCATAATCTAATATCTAAACTTTATATAAAGTTTATTTTTCTATAGGCACTAACATTTACACTGATTTAAACTAGCAAATATAATGTTCTTTTTACCTACACTTGGTCTCAAGCTAGTGAGAGAATGCAACATTTCACCTTAAAGTTTGACAAAGGAAATAATTACATCAGTAGTATAGTGTTGTATTATATATGTAATACTCTATGTATATGTGTGTGTGTGTGTATATATATATCAATCATATTAATTATGCAAAGGCATTTTACAGTATGGACCATATCGAACTATGGCTAACAATTGAGAAGAATGGGAATCCCAGAACACTTAATTATGCTCATATGAAACCTGTATCAACACCAAGAAGCTGTTATGTGAACAGAGCAAGGGAAGAGTGTATGATTTAAACTTAGGAAGGTTGTGCTTCAGGGTTATACTCTTTCTCCATCCTTTTCATCCTGAAAAGCAGGATTTTATGAAGAAGAAAGTGGCATCAGCATTGGAGGAAGCCTCATCAGCAGCTTGCTTTAGAAGACGATAAACTTTGCTTGGTTAAAGGGAGTAGGATTTTAAAAGCTTGATGAAGAATATAAAAATCTACACCCTTCAATACAGATTATATCTCAACATCAGGAAGGCAAATATCCTTAGCGCTGGACCGGTAAGCAACATCGTGATAGATGGACAAAAGATTGAAATTATCAATAATTTGATTTTACATGGATCCACACTCGGCACCCTTGGTACTGGCAATCAGGAGATCAGGAAATGTATTGCATTGGACAAGTCTCCTGTCAGGGACCTCTCCAAAGTTCTGAGGAGCTTTTATGTTAATTTGAAGACTAACGTCTATCTGATTCAAGTCATAATCTTTTCAGTCACTTGCTATACATCTGAGAACTGGACATTGACTAAGAATGACAAGAATTATTGATGTCTTTGATTTCTGGTGCTGGAGAAGACTAACGAATTATCCCATGGACTGCCAAAAGACCAAACAGATATGGTTTTGGAAAGTGCAGCCGAATGTTCCTTGGAGGCAAGGAACGTGAAGCTTCCTCTCTCATACTTTGGGTATATTGCTAGGAGAAGATATTCTTTGGAAAGGGATACCATGAGTAGAAAAATGGAGGGTCAGTGAAAGAGAGTAAGATGCCTAGTGAGATGGAATGATTCATGTATATAAGGAGCTCTGGTGGCCTAGTAGTAGAGAATTGTGCTGCCAACCCTAAGATAGGCTTTTTGAATCTACAATTTGCTCCACAGGAGAAATATGGCCAATCTTCTCCCATGGTATATACACAGTCTCTTGAAACCTTCTAGAAAATCATCTAAGAATAGGTTCTGACTTGACAACATATACACACACATAAGTCTGGTGATGTGGTGCCATATATGTTGTGCTGCTAGCTGAAATGTAAGAAATTTAAATTCAACAGCTAGTCTAAAGAAGAAAGATGGATAACCTCCCCCAAAAATTCACAGCCTCAGAAGAAAATCCACTATGACTAGATACTGACTTGATGACATTTGAGTGTGTATATGTGTATAAATACAGAAAAATATATTTGTATGTGAGTGTATATGTGTTGTTATATGTGATCGTCTTGGAACCAACTCAAAGCTGACCCTCCAGCAGGTTTCTAGAGACTGTAAATCACATGGAAGGAGAATGCCCATCTTCCTCCTCTGGAGCAGCTGGTGGATTCAAACCACATGCCTTTTCATTACCAGGTGCTCTCTGCCACTAGGTAGCTCCTGTGTGTGTTTGTGTGTACATGTGTGTGCACGCACACTATTGTTGTATACCATCAAGTCAGAACGGCTCTATAGCTGACTGTCCAGTGCATTTTCAGAGGCAGTAATTCACAAGGGAGTAAATTGCCCATTCTTCTCCTGTGGAGCAGCTGTTATAATTTGAATATTTGAACCGTGTGTGTGTGTGTGTACACACATAGACCAAGAGGCTATTGTGTGAACAGAGCAAGGGAACACTACATGGTTTAAAATTAAGAAATGTATGCATCAGGGTTATATCCTTTCACCACATCTATTTAATCTGTATGCTGAGCAAATTATTCAATAAGCTAGACTCTATGAAGAAGAATGCAGCATCAGGATTGGAAGAAGACTCGTATGCAGGTGTCATACCCTTACTTGCTGAAAGTGAGGAAGACTTGAAACACTTGGTGCAAAATATCATACACTGCAGTCTTCAATGCGGATTGCATCATGCTTGGAAAGGTAGCGAGAAGACCCTCAACCAGGTAGATTGGCACAGTGATAGCAGCAATGCGCTTGAGTGTGTCAGAGATTGTCAGGTTGGTACAGGATATGACAGCATCCAGACCTGTTGTTCATTTGTGTATAGCTTATTTTTAAACATATATATATAAATATATAATATAATATAAACATAATTTTTATGTCACCTAAGTATTTCTAATGTCTGCTGTTATTACATTTTGCTAAACTTTTAGGAGGTTTGTGTGTGGGTTCGGTTTGAGCTTCTCTGGCATTTGATAAGAGTATAAGTAAACATCTACACAGTCCAGCCTCCAAAAGAGTAATGTGATTTTTAAGAAAGAGGGAAGAAAAGGAAGCTATTAAGATATACTATCGAAAAACGGGAACTCATTCAATATTATTCAAAATGGGTGAGCCTGGAGGACATCATGCTGAGTGAAATATCTCAGTCGCAAAAAGACAAATATTGCATGGTGCCACTGCTGTAAAATGGGACTGATATCAGGGTGGGGGTAAGACTGAGAAAAACTGGATAAATTGTGTATACTGCACTGAAACAGATGAGGGACT